TTTTTATTTACAAAAAAGCTGATCAGTCTTCTAAATGCATTTTCCTACTACAGGAATTTCATAGATTATTAGACAATTATGAAAAGCATTAATATTTCATGAAACTGGTCATTTCTTTCACCAAATAGGACTCCTTGATTGATAGCAAAAACAATCATATACTTCTTAAGTATGAAATCTATTAGCTCTGTCCTCACAAAGACATCAGTATATCAGTCATTCTCAGATCCAGGAAAGGGAGAACCCAAACCAGTTTTATTAAAGTGCTGAAAAATGGTAATCAAATGAATACTTCTTCATAATCAAGCTTACAAATTTAATGTGTCTTATTCTATGTGGTATTAATATGATTTCCTCATTGCAGTTGTAGGTTTACAACTTACAGGTAGCTTGGTTTGTTGTGATGCGCTTAGTATTTGAAGTGTGGTAAACCCAGGCATGCAATGTAACTACCAATTCCCCTTTTCTGACTCAACATGATTTTTTTCTTCATTTCTATACAGCTGTTACACGTACAGTCCTTATAGCCTCTTCTTAATTTGTTTACTTCTTGCCACTTATTCTAGTGATTATAGAATAAAGTGATAAGAAGTTTAATAGATATCTAATTCATTTTTGCCGACTGCTTTAAGCCACTCAACGTTATCCTCCTCAAATATTTGTCTGATTCATGCTGGAATAGCTCTAGCAATGGGAAAACTTAATTACTTTCTAAAGTAAAAAAAAAAAAAAAAAAAAAAAAAAAAAAAAAAAAAAAAAAAAAAAACAACTTTTTAAACTAAACCTAAAACTTAAAAACTTTCTGTTTTCTGGAAAATTCCAATGATTAGAAAAATTTCAAATTTTTCTTTAGTGCAAAGTATATTTTATTTTCTCAGCATCAAATGAAATCTGTAATATGTGTCAGCTACTGGTGCTAAAGTTCTTGAATGGTGTTTGAAAATTTTATAACATAGTAACAGAATACACAAATTTGTCTATAATTGGTATTTGCTATTTAAAAAGGCTTGGATGGGGCGCCTGGGTGGCGCAGTCGGTTGAGCTGACTTCACAGCCAGGTCACGCATTCATGATCCGTACCTGAGTTGGCCCCGCAGGGCTCTGGCTGATGGCTCCTCAGAGCCTGAGCAGCCGTTTCGATTCTGTGCTCTCCTCTCTCTGCCCCTCCCTGCTGTTTCATGCTCTTCTCTTGTCCCAAAAAAAAAAAAAAAAAAAAAAAACGTTGAAAAAAAAATAAAAAAAAAATAAAAAGGCTTGGTAACAGACTAGTCACTGTTAAATTTCTAAATAAATTCCACATTAAGAATGACCCTGGGTATGATATTTACTCCTTAAAGGATGAATAATAAAAGAGAAAGCAAAAGACAATTCATGGCACAGGAAATGAATAGTATGCAATCTCCTTGTGAAGTTTCCATATTTTAGTTTAGGTTTTATTCTTCAGATTAAACCGAGGCAGGTTTTCTGCATAGCAGTCTCAGAGATTTGCTAATGATTATTATGCACAATTCTGCCACTCTCTTCCTCTTTCTCATGTCTTAAAGGGTCCAAATTCTGTCCAAAAACAGATTTTTTTTTTTTTTTTACAATCCCAATCGTTAGTAAAACCACACATTCCCTAATTTTTTTTTTTAATCTTCAGCCTACATGTTACCAGTTATTTCAAGATTTCCTCAAATACAGTGACTTTGAATCTATGCAATAAAGTTTTAAATTAAATAAAAACCCTCTAGTTTGTTGATACTCATTTTAAATGTCACCTGGCTTATATTCCATGAATTATCTGATGAGGAGAACAAAATCAGAACTATTCCTTTTCATTCTGAAAACTTCTGTTGAAGGAGAGTGATTTACATTTTTTTCCCTGATACACATAACATTTCTTACACATACTTCATATACTCTCAAATAAAATTCACTGGCTGATTCTATAGAAAAAATTATATAAAAACCATAATCATTCACAAGTATATTTATAATAGTTTATATTTCAAAGGTCTCATATCCTATTGATGGGTAGATATCAGTGGTTGAATAAGCATTTGTCCATATTCAAATGGCAGAAACAAAAAATCATAACTTATACTAAAGCTCTTTTATAGTCTTGCTACATTCTAGTTCCAAATCACATGCAGTAACTTAGCTGTTTTTTCCCTGAGTAAATTGTGTTTTGTCTATAAAGATGTAAAAAATTTCTGTTATCAGTGAGATCAGAACTGTTTCTAGGAAGTAAATAAAATGATATTTATTTTTATAAATACTAGTTTATTTCATAAAAATACAAAAATATAAATATACATTTATAAAAATATGAATGAATTAACACAAAGACATTCTTCAACTAAATAAATATGGCAGTAATAGTCATTCCTATTTCTTTAGGGATATATTTTCATATTAATTTACAAAGCAGTTGCACAATGTTTAATAGTAAAGGTGACTATAAGTCAGTTAAGAAAACATTTATAAAGTCTTTATATTTAAGGAAAGGCACAAAAAGCCTTTTATGTAATTTGTATTGATTATTGATGTGATATACTTTCGTTCAGAGATTGCTAGGCAAAGAGAGTGAACTGGTTATTATTACTTTTTTTAAAATCTATATCATTCATAGTCATTCACAGAAACTTACTGATTAAGCAAACCCTTACTAAGACAACACCTACGTATTGTTTGTAATTTCAATTTTTAAAAAATTTCCTCCAAGGAAGAGAATGCAGGCCACTCAATCTAGTAACAAGAAGTGTACTTCCACTAACATGGATCAAGTCATACGATACTCTTAATCTCGGTCACTGTCATCACCCCCATACATATCAGCAAGCTTTTTAAAACGAGGTCCCCAGTCGCTGAGGTAATCATAATCTTGGTTACAATCGGCTGTGAGAGACTCCAAAGAACTGAGTGAATCGGCTATGGAATCATTGCCTTCGTAGGCGTATGTTGCCAGTGAATCATAAGGTGGTGCACTTGGGTCTGAGTCATTTTCTTTCAATCTTCGATGGATAAAATCTTGTACATCAATATTTTCCCACAGAGGCACAGTCCTCCTTATCTGAAAAATAGTTTCAGGCATTACATCTCTTCTAAGTTTACTGTCTTCTCTTGCTTCTGGATTCCTTAAGGTGCCAATGTCAAAAGCTTGGGTATCTTCTTCCCCACCACCTTCATCATTATAGGTCACAATGTTGTCACGGACATCATCTTTTGAAATTATCAGAGGTTCCTTTTTTCTCTGCCTCTTCAGTGCAGCAAACAGCACAACTAAAACTATTAATAATAACAACAACAATAACAACAACAAAGAGAAAATAGTGAAAGTCCATGATTCAGGTTTAAATTAAATATAGCACCCTTTGGAACAACAACAACAACAACAAAGAGAAAATAGTGAGATTCCATGGTTCAGGTTTAAATTAAATATAGCACATTTTGGAAAGGGAAGTTTGTGTGGTATGAGAGATGCTAAGATTTCTTTGGATAAAAAGTGACTATCCTACACAAATACACAGTGCCTTGGGCCAATGAGTAAATGTCCTGTATTGATAAAAGAGCAGATATTACAGTCCATTTATTTACTTTCAAGAGTCACTCTCCTGTACAGCTCTGGCATTGAAAAATCCTTATTCAGTTATGGCTAATTCATTTAGCCAGCTGTTAATTATGTGATATCTCATTCCTTCCAACAGCAAACTTGCTTAAAAATACTAAAATTCTAAAGCTACACTCATTATTAGCCCAAGATAAATTGAGCAATAATTTAATAGTTTCTCAATGACTCAATATATGCAAAACATCACTCATATACATGCATATATACATAAAAGTGCAATATATGTGTGTATATAATATATACAAAAATATATATGTGCTACTGATCTAATCCTTCTAATAGCTCTTATCTATTTAAATTCCTTTTTGGACCTGATTTTGAAAGCCTACCTAAAATCTGAGCCATCACTCTATAAGCTCTGATATGGAATCCAAATTCTTACTTATCTTTAACCTGTACTGATCTTACATGATAGTTCAGATTAAAGATAGTTCAGACTAATTATCTTGTTATTGAGGATTTCCTTGACTTATAGAAGTACATTGGAACTTTCTGGCTGACCTGTTATTTGTAATCCCTCTATTTGCTGTATCGTTTTATTTTTTATATACTTGTGTTATCAAATTAATTGTGAACTCCCCACATGAAATATACTTTCTTATTTTTGTTATGTTACTAAAATGTAACATATGCATATATGTGACAATGAATGTCTGTATGCAAAATAAATACATTTTGCAATTTACAAATACATTTAAAAGTAAGAAAAATACATAATTTCCAAAATATAAATTTTTCATTGAAAATGGAACAAGTTCCTAATTTTGTATATAAGAAAAGTTAAAAATTAAATAAAGATAAACTTTCCCAAAACACACTTAGACATTGCATGAGAGAAATAAAAAACAGCTTTTCCTTAATTTAGGCAGCTAAATGTTTTGCTAATACTATTTAGGTTTTATTAAAAAACAAGAACATGTTGGCTCAAAAATCTATCATTTCTTTTCTTGATTTTTATATTGAAATCACACAAAGCAAACTCATTTACATTGAAACCACACTTCACCATGGCCCTTGAGTTTCTTGTAACTCCATTAAAGTCTGCCCAATGCTATTGTCATATCAGCCAAAACACTTTCCTTAGCTCCTAATAATTGGTAGAAAGAATAAAAAAAAATCATTAGTAACATCTTCAGTTAACCTCCATAGAATAGGCTCCGGGTGCTGAGCTATATTCAGAATCATCTTAGAGACAATAAAACAAAAAACTATTCAATAAAAATGAGACATATCTCTATTTCCCCTATTAAAGGATGAACATAAGTTAATTAACTCAGCATAGATCTGAAATCCACCAATCTAGTGAATCATGAAGTAGAAAAAAAATTTTTTATAAATTTAATATTGAATTAATTTATAAATTCTCTACTTTCCTCAAAATTTTTATAAACTCCGACTATAAAATAAGAACAACATAGTCAAATTATATTAAGGGTTCTTAGCTAATATAATATTTATTAACTCCCACAAATGGACCTTGGAACCTGTCCTGTTTTTTCTCCTTTGTTGGGTCACAATTACCTGCTTCATTTCCCTAGACTGAGGTTATGTGAATGGAATTTAAAAAGGTAAAGATAATGAATAGAAAAAAGTATGTAATTATTTTTATTAATCTATTACTGGAATTTAGTATTTCTATTATGAATATCAGAATATACAAGTACTGTAGTGATAGTAACAGTATGTGTGACTATTAAACCAACAGAAATCATAGATATTTTATATTGCATTTTAGTTATGATATATCTTAAATAATCATTAGACTTGCACTAGAATAAGGCACATATGACAATAATTAAACTCATTTTGCTTTTGTTTCTTAGTTAATTTGGATAAACATATTTCCTTTTTTTATATATCCTATTATTATTAATTTATTATTCTAAATAGTTCCCATAGTTTGATTCCCAAGGTGTCTAAGGAACTAAAACAGTTAAAAAGTCCTGTATCAGGTTTTAATCCTTGACTTTGCCTTGTAACATAGACAAACTCTAAGAACTATATTTCTTCAAACTGTAAAGGTAGGTCTGAGATATTATTGTCCATGCTATATCACTGTCTTGCAAAGAGGCAACTCTTCTAACTATAGAAATTTAGTAACTGTGTGCAAACAACAGGTGTTGGTGAAGATGTGGAGAAAAAGGAACTCTCTTGCACTGTTGGTGGTAATGCAATCTGGTGCAGCCACTCTGGAAGACAGTATGGAGGTTTCTCAAAAAGTTTAAAGTAGAAGTACCCTATGATTCAGCAATTGTACTACCAGATATTTACCCAAAGAATACAAATACACTAATTCATTACCTACAATAGCCAAATCATGGAAATAGCCCAAGTGTACATCCACAGATGAATGGATAAATGGATAAAGAAGATATATATCTATATCTATATCTATATATATATCTATATATATATATGTGTGTGTGTGTGTGTGTGTATATATGTATATATGTGTGTGTGTGTATATATATATATACACACACACACATATATATACACACACACATATATACATATATATATATATATCTCCACACATACAATGAATATTACTCAGACATAAAAAAGAATGAAATATTGCCATTTGTAACAATGTGGACAGAGCTAAAGAGTATTATGCTAAGTGAAATAAGTCAGAGAAAGACAAATACCCTATGATTTCACTCATATGTGGAATCAACATGGGAAAAAAGAGAGAGGCATGAAACAGACTGTTAACTATAGGGAACAACCTGAGGGTTACTGGAGGGGAACTTTGTGTGTGTGTGGGGTGGGGGGGGTGGGTTAAATGGGTGATGGGGATTAAGGAGTGCACTTGTGATGAGCACAGTGTGTTGTATGGAAGTGTTGATATTGTACACCTGAAATTAAAACTACATTGTACATTAACTAAATGGAATTCAAACAAAAACTTTTTAAAAAGGTGAAATCACAGCAAAAATGTTTTAGGAACTTTGATAATGAAACCTTCTGAATTAGAAGCAATTTTAACTAAAATAATAGAAAATCCCTCCATCTTTATGCAATCGGTTGGGAAGGTGGAAAACAAGAAATGTGTGCCTTCTATATTGTATAGGGCAGGAAGGTGGCCGAGTTCTCAAAATAAAGAAACAGGGGCGCCTGGGTGGCGCAGTCGGTTAAGCGTCCGACTTCAGCCAGGTCACGATCTCGCGGTCCGTGAGTTCGAGCCCCGCGTCAGGCTCTGGGCTGATGGCTCAGAGCCTGGAGCCTGTTTCCGATTCTGTGTCTCCCTCTCTCTCTGCCCCTCCCCCGTTCATGCTCTGTCTCTCTCTGTCCCAAAAATAAAATAAACGTTAAAAAAAAAATTAAAAAAAAAAATAAATAAAGAAACAGCCTTGTAGGATTTCTGCTTAGAAAAAACTGTTAAACAATTTAGTGTCATAAGACATAGTATGTAAGCTTATTAGGGGGCGCTTTTGTTTCCTCATGTATGCATGTGTGTCTTTGTGTGTGTATTATCTTAATATAGAAATTTAAAAGTCAAATTTAAAATATGCATATTTCCATGTTGTCCTAAATTAGGAAAGTAGAGCTATGTGACCAAACAAAACAATATAATATCAGTAGCACTTAGCTGAAAGGTAAGCCAAAATTGATACTTCATGGGGATACAAAAATATTTTACAGAAGAGCTGAAATTTCTAGCAGCAGTTCTGAGATGTGGACTGGTGTTGGTGTATGTATGTTCTAAAGCACCCTGAAAAAATGTTTTTCTAAATAGTTGGATCATTTGAACTGAGACAAATGTTTTCCCCTCACTTTTATCAATCCCCCACTGAAGTCGCATAAGGATATCTGGCCAGAGGGATTTCATCCAGATTGCTTGAAAGGATTTGCGGTGAAAAGGAGCCAGCACATATGAGCATTGGAACATAAATTTGGCTGGCTCTCATGCCCTAAGCATAAGCATTTTGGATGAATATTTGATGGAAACAATTTTGGGGGGAATGTTTTACAGTGGAACAACTGTTTAATTGAATTAAATCGTTGTCCTGTTAGGGCATGCTCAAATCAAACATTTGCTATAGCAAGCATGACTTTATTTAGAAAATACTGCAGGACTACGTAGACCACAATGCCATGCTGATATTTTTAAAAATGAACTTAAACCTTTAATTTGCACCTATGTTCAAATTGTATCAATAAAATGCTCATCTTATATTGACAATTTAAATGGATTTGCCAACTAGGTGTCTAATATACATAACTTGGTCATTTGTTAGCTATATTATTTGTAAAGGTAGTCTTTGACTTTGAGAATAATGGTTTAGAAGGAGAATTCTGAAATAGACTAATATATTGAACGCTATTTAAAACACTTTCTAAATGACTGAATTTATGTAAGTTACTTAGTCTTCCTTGAGAAGAACCAGAGTATCCATCTTATGGAGTTGATACAAAAAGTAAATCAGTTGTAAAAGTAAATGTCCTGAGAACAGTGACCATGATTAGCTAGTACTAAACAGTCTAATACAAAATAGATTTTAAAATGTGTGTGTATACATGCATATGGCATGAGCTGTTAGCTCTGTTTTTCATCTCTAGAAAGCTAGTCCTATCCTCAGAGACAACTAGATTTTTTTTTCAAATCGAAAGAACAATTTCAATAAAGAGTTAAAAATGTCAATCTTTCACTCTAGAGAAGTGTGCTTTTCAGTAGCCCCATCACTGAACAGTGCAGGAGAGACTTTTTTGAGTCCAATGAACATTCAGAGGCAGAGCTTACCAAGGAGTATGATGATGCAGAGAAGGATGGCGATCAGAGCCCCTGTGCTGAGACCCGCCGAGAGGACCAAGGCCTCTGCATTGCAGGACTGCATGTTTCCTTGATTATCACAAGCGCACACACGGATAGTGAGTGTGCCGGTGCTGCTTTGAATTGGGTAATCATTGTCAAATATTAAAATCGGTAGTAGATAGGTGCTCATTTTGTTGCGGCTGTACCCGTCTTTTCGAGTCATGATTCCTGCTGTATTATCTAAAAAAAAAAAAGTGGGGAAACAGTTCAGTCCAGTCTTTAATTTTAGAACATAAGGCCTTATAATTTTACTTTTAAAAATATTCTGTACCTTTATTATCTACAATGGTGAAGTTCGGATTGAGAGGAAATTCTGGCACTGGTTCAAAGAAAAATTTGTGGCCTCGGGGAGGATCATCTCTGTCCATGACACTGACAGTCTGAATCAGCTGAAACCAAGTCAATAAATGAAATAAAGCACAACAAAAAGCAACGCATGTTGTTTTTATAGGACATTTTAAATCAGTGTTTGGGTTTTAAAAATATCACTGACATTAAAGAAATAAAAAGAGCCCATTTTCAGAAATTATGGCAAAGCTTTTTATGGTTCTGTATAATATAACAATTAGTTAAGGATAAAAAAATGTCCATCAAGTATTACCGTGCAAGGTATCTCTATGAATTATTGTCCGATTCCCAGCCGCTGCAATATCCAACCTTAAAGAAAAATTCAATCACTCCAACATCTCCTCTTTTAACATTGTTAGAATGTCCCAGTGTGTTTTAATAATAATTGGTTACCAATCTGTCGCCTCCACTAAATAATGATTGTCTCAAAGGCAGAGAACATAACAGATGCACTTTTCAAAAACAAAAGTGCTTAGCACAGCCACTCTTACAGATCAAGGACACTATGAATATAGTTTTGAAACAATGAGTAATATGCCACATGATACCAGAAAGCAAAAGATTTTAAAGCTAGGGGGCACCATAACTACAATCACATTGCATAGTTTATTCAACTTATTTGTTTTTCTTTTAGTGGTATTTGCAAAGCTTAGAGATACAAATAAATGCTTTTAAGGTTTCATAAAATCAGTGTTGACGTTGAGAAATTATGACACCTCTTAGTTGTGCTTGCTGTAAGTTACAGGTGTGCCCTTGTGTGAAGACGAAGCTGCAAATTACAGGTCACACAAAAAATTCTATTGAACATTTTACAGTGGAAAAAGCACCAAGCTACATATCGGGTGCCTGTTTTCCTAGTCCTGGGTCTGCCATCTGTGTGGCTTGAAATTATAGCCACTTAATTACTCTTACTTTCAAATTTCTTTTCCACAAAAACAGTTGCACCACTCACTTAGAGGCATAGTAGTCCGACTTCTGTGATGAACAACTGTTGGAATTTCATAGTAGTTTGGCATATCCACAGTTTTTGTTACTGTGAACCTTCTGTAGCCATACTAACCTGATGACTCACTAGTCAATGTGTTTTCCTCTTTTAATACCAACTAGGATTTCATTCATTTTATTGACAGAGTGGCATGTAACCTTACACTTCTTTATATAATTCTTCGTGTATGTGTACAATTATTAAGAGAAATTTAATGCACATTTTCTCCTTAGAAGATTGGGTCATGACATAGAAAAAAATACTTTTAAGACTTCAGCACTTTTGCTTAACCTCCTGTTCCATATTGGCAATGGTATATCCAATATTTAGCAATATTTTATTTTATTTTATTTTATTTTATTTTATTTATTTTATTTTTTAATGTTTAGTTATTGTTGAGAGACAGAGACAGAGCATGAGCATGGGAGGGGCAAACAGAGGAGGAAACACAGAATCCAAAGCATGCTCCAGGCTCTGAGCTGTCAGCACAGAGCCCGACGTGGGACTTGAACCCACAAACCACGAGATCATGACCTGAGTCGAAGTTGGCGCTTAACGGAGTGAGCCACCCAGGCGCCCCATGATATTTAGCAATATTTTAAATCATAAACAATGTAGGTCCTCTGGTTATACGGCAGAGTTCTTGAAGTGATTAGATCAGCCATTGTTTAAGCATATTTTAACAGAGAATACATATCCGTAGCTTAAAATACATTTTTAACCTTGTTACTTTTAACAAGCAAATTGTTATGTGTCAAGTATAGAAACAACGACAGAAATTTTAATACTAATAGTATCTATTAAAATAATTTTTAGTTCAGATCAATTATTTTTATCAAATATTAATTTGTAATACATATCAATTACTCACATGAAAAGCATATTAATAGACAAACGAGTAAAGAATATCTATACACTGTTGTCAATTGACTTCTTTCTCTGCAAGACATATGTTCAAATCCTAATTTCCAGTACCTGTGAATGTGATCTTATTTGGAAACAGGCTCTCGTAGATGCAATCAAGTTAAGATGAAACCGTGGTGGATTAGTGTGGACCCTAATCCAATGACTGGATTTTTCCCATAAGAAGAGGGAAATAGGGATACAGATAGAATGTCACGGGACAGTGTATGCAGAGATTGGAGTAATTCTTATAAACCAAGGGATGCCAATGGTTTCTGGCACTCACAGGGACTAGGAAATGGCAAGAAAGAGTCTACTCCTAGAGTTTATAGAGAGGGGATGGCCTGCTGACACGTTGATTCCAGACTTTATTCTCCAGAACTGTGTGAGAGCGGATTTCTGTTTTAAGCTTTCTAGTTTGTGGTAATCTCTCATGGTAGCCTTAGGAAACTAATACAGCTGTGAAAATGGCCACACATTTATGAAAAATGTTCAGCCCAAATAATTTTGGGAGGATCCATGTTAAAATTATTATGAGATACTATTTTTCGGTAGACATTTTAAAATCTAGTGTTGCCCAATAAATAGGCAGTCATCCACTAGATATATGACATATTTAGGCAACTATTTGGAGGCATTGATGAACATTTACATATCAAATTTATTCCTACTTTGAAGGTTGTATCAAAGGAAAAGAATACCAGGTAGTATATAAATATAAATGTACTGTAATGCTCATTATAGTGCTGTCTGCTGAGTAATATTTTGTTTGTAAACCAAATTTCCATTTTAAGTGGGTAGTTGAATAAACTAATGAATGTATAGCTATGCTGTAAAAATTCAGCATCGTTTTAAAAATAATCATTTGCTAAACTAAGTGTATGTCCATTACATGTTGCAAAGTGAAAAAAGAAAAACAATTTTTAATCCAGATAACTATGTAATGATGCTTTTTTGGCAAGTAACAATAAGAATAATAATACCCCAATTCTATCTTTTGTGTATGCAAGTGGAATATAGTACATATCTCTGTCTTAGTCTACCTGCTTGGGCTGCCGTAAAAATTATGCAGCCTGGATGGCTTCAATGGCAGAAATTTATTTTTCTCACAGTTCTGGAGACTGGAAGTCTGAGATCAAGGTCTGTGAGAGCTTTCTTTCGGGCTTGCAGACAGCTGCCTTCTTGCTACGTCCTTACAATGCCTTCCCTTTAAGTGTATGCATAAAAAGAGAGAGAGGGAGAGTGATCTATCTGTTGTCTCTTCCCTAAAGGACACTAATCCTTTCAGATCATAGCCCTAACCTTATGATCTCCTTTAACTTTATTTGCTTCCTTAAAAGCTCTATCTCCATACTGGGGGTTAGGGTTTCAAATGAACATTTGGTCCATTGCAATCTCTATTGGAATAAAAAGAAGACTGTATTTCACTTTTATTTTCTGTGTTTAAAAAAACACGATGGAGGTGTGCCTGGGTGTCTAAGTTGGTTGGGCGTCCGATTTCCGCTCAGGTCATGATCTCATAGATCATGAGTTCGAGCCCCGAGTTGGGCTCTGTGCTTACAGCTCAGAGCCTGGAGCCTGCTTCAGATTCTGTGTCTCCCTCTCTCTCTGCCCCTCCCCTGCTCACACTCTGTCTGTCTCTCTCCTTCAAAAATAAATAAATATTAAAAAAAATAAATAAAATAAAAAACATGATGAAATTATATATGATTCTTAACACCCACCCACTTTTTCCTTAAAAAATCTTAATAACTTGTTAAAATTTCCTTCAATGAAATTTGTGCAGTTACTATCATTTGTAAAATACTATATTAGTGTCAAAAATGAACATATTCTGCAGTTGCTTAAAGTTACTTTAGAGATATCTTATATATGAGGGGACTTTGCAAGAGGACTTTGTAACTTTTGTACAAACAATCTCTTTTTATCTCAAGAAGATTAAAGTTGAAAAATCACAAAGTATAATTATCAACCAAAATGTCTTGCCTGAGAGATTAAAAGAGGAAAATGTAATGAACAAGGTAATTATTTTGATTCCCTCTATACTAACACAGAAGAATTTCATGTTCATACTTCATGTGTTATTTAGTAATGTATTTCCATTCTATTCTTGAATATAACTCAGTTTCAGCATAATTATGAATCCAGGTAGAAACTATTTCTTAGATAGATAGATAGATAGATAGATAGATAGATAGATAGATAGATAGATAGAACTATATGTATAGATATTTATTATATACCAGTATATAAATTAAATCATATATTACAACTTTTTCTATTATATCATGGGTTCCATAATAGAAACCACTTCAAAAGTTACCTTTTTAGATCACTGTGAATGTTCTGGTAAGGGGAGATAAACAGGTGACAAAGAGGAATGGCAATAATTTGCATGAAAAAAAAAAAAAAAAAGATTTGTTCAAGTGAATGAATATAATGGTACCTGCCTTTGGAAACAGGAAAAAACAAATTTAAGTTTATAATGGTTTTATTTACCTGCCCAGGCTTTGCATTTTCACAAACAAATGTTTCATAGTACATGGCAAATTCCGGAGCATGGTCATTTATATCTAGAATTCTGATGAAGACAGGGATGTGGCTACTTTGTTTTGAGTTATCTGCAACAAGAACATGTGTAAGACTTCAGTCTCATTTACAGAGAAGCGGTGACACCACTCTCCCCATTTGTAACTTAGCAACAGATCATTTATGTGGTATTCACTTTCTCAATTGGATTGCTGATGAATATCTCAGCTTGCTTACAGGGTCCAGATGGAAAGCATGATTAAAAAGAGGAGAATATGATTGAGAATGAAGTATTATTATTTGTAAGGCATAATTTTCTTAGATTACTTATTTTTATGAGGTTAGATTATATTTCCATCCTACAGTAAGCTATAAGAGAAAATTAAATTTAAAAAGTGGATATTTGATAATCATTAAATAATATAATATCCAACACACGCTCAGGCTGCTAACGATAAAATTATTTCACTCAAGAAATAGAGTCTACTTATTGCTGTTATTTTGCCACTTTGGTGTTCAGATGGATGTATTTCCCACTCACTTATTTCTGTGGCTGTAATGGTGATGTTGTGCCAAGGAGATGATTCCCGGTCCAGGGGTTTCAAAGTGAAAATAGAGCCATTTTCGGAGTGAATACTAAAAATCCGGTCCATATCAGTATGCCGATCAATGGAGTATCTGGCAGAAAAGAGATTCATGAATCTAGGCATTATTTTAAGATTATTAGTTCATCTACTATTTCTTAAAAGTTATAGGCAATTCAAACAATGTTCTCATAAAGTCATGACAGTAAAATGCTAATAACTTTCTTGAATTTTTATTTAATGTAACTGTCACTTAGACGATTTGATATGTTTGGCCTTTTCCATCATTACTATTCTACGATTGTGTGACTTTAGAGTTATTATTTATACTCAGGAATACTTGCAGCAGCCTTTCAGTGAGTTTTTAATTGTCACTTGATTTACTTATCCTATCATAGACCTATTGCAGTGCTTGAGACATATTAAGTAGTCATATTAAATTTGATGGAGTCAGTTGCATAGATAAATTGAAATTATGTTAAAAAGAAACATAAGAACTTGTCCACAGAGTCCTTATGGCTATAAGTGAATAGAGAAACTGTTGTAAAATACTTTGCTCTTGAATGGCTCTCTTTTAGGGAACATATCAGCTGACTCAAAGGTCATCCTCCAATCTATTCCTCTGACCTATTCCAGATAAAAATGAAATGACATATTACATAGAGTTCCATGCCTCTTTCTTATCAGGGTTGGATATGGACACCCTATGATTGGCAAAATAATGCCTCCTCATGTCCCCCAAAGGATGCCTACTTCTTAATCCCTGAAACCTATGGATATGTTATGTTACATGATAAAAGTAACTTTGTAAATGTGATTAAAGTCATTGAGAAGGAAGACTATTCTTAATTATCTAGATAGGCCTAAATGAATCATGCAAACCATTTAAAGTGGATGAAGAAGGCAGAGATGTGCTCTAGAGAATGAGACAGGAGGAAAAAAAAAAAAAAGAGAGATTTAAAGTATGGAAAGGAATTGATCTCTTATTGCTGGCTTTGAGGATTGCAGGAAGGGGTATCATGCCAAAGGATGCAGGCCACCTCTAGAAACTCAGAATGAACCTTCAGCTGAAAAACAGCAAGAAAATAAGAATTACAGTCCTGCAACTGCAAGGAACTGAAATCTAATAACCTAAATGAGGAAGGAAACCATTGCTCTCCTACCGTGTCCAGACAGGAATATGGCCCTGTCCACAGTAACATCTTTAGCCCAGTGAGATTCATCCCAGATCTCGAACCCATAAAACTTTAAGATAATAAATTTAAGTTACTTTAGGCACTAAGTTTATGGTAATTTGTTATGGCAGCAATAGAAGGCTGTAATGTAATCATAAGAAAGATCTTTTAAAAGGCTAGCTTATAATAAAATACCTTAGGTCAGGCCATGTTAGGCTGTACTAACACATCTCTTTGAGATTTCTGCTGCTGAGTATCTAATTAAGCCATATAGGAAAATAAGTGTTTCTCAAACAGTAACGTTCATATGAATTACATTGGGATTTATTTATTTATTTATTTATTATTTATTTATTTATTTTTAATTATTTTTTTTTAATTATTTTTTTTCAACGTTTATTTATTTATTTTTGGGACAGAGAGAGACAGAGCATGAACGGGGAAGGGGCAGAGAGAGAGGGAGACATAGAATCGGAAACAGGCTCCAGGCTCTGAGCCATCAGCCCAGAGCCTGACGCGGGGCTTGAACTCACAGACCGCGAGATCGTGACCTGACTGAAGTCGGACGCTTAACCGACTGCGCCACCCAGGCGCCCCTATTTTTAATTATTTAAAAAATTTGTTTTTAACGTTTATTCATTTTTGAGAGACAGAGAGTAACAGAGCATGAGTGGGGGAGGAGCAGAGAGAGAGAGGGAGACACAGGATCTGAAGCAGGCTCCAGGCTCTGAGCTGTCAGCACAGAGCCCAGCACAGGGCTTGAACCCATGAACCAGGAAATCATGACCTGAACCAAAGTCGTATGCTTAACTGACTGAGCCACCCAGGCACCCCTACATTGGGATCTTTTTAAAAACGGATTCTGATTCAGTAGGTCAGGTGTTGGAGCTGGGATTTTGTATTTCTAACAAACATCTTAGGTCAATCCCATGTTATAAGACTTTAGTCAAGACTTAATATAGTAAAGCTATATACCATGGGATAAACTGTTCAGAATAAAGATGGAAAAAGGAAGAAAATGACAGACAACAAAGAAACTAATCAACATCTGGTGTAGTTCTCATTTTTCTAAATATCTTATTAAAGTCACTTAACAAATGAACTCCTTTTTGATCTGGTGAATTTGGAAATTACAGCTCCCATTATAAATCTGTAATATATTCACTATCAAACATTGACTTTCATAAACATAAGTAATAGAAATTGAGCTGCTAGTGTTCCTTTTTTTTTTTTTTTTTTTTTT